CTTAATTTCCTGATTAATTCAGGTCCCTTTTTTTTCTTGTTCGGAAAGAAATTTCAATGAAACATAATGAATCAAAGTAATTTTAATTTAAGCAATGATTTTCAATCATTTCGAATGATGCTATACATTAAATCATGCATAACGTTTTTTTCTTTGCTAATGAATTGAATATTAAATCTCTTAGAAAAAAAAGATTTAATCTAATGTAAACAATTAGTTTTTTGTTAGGATAGGTTACTGATAGTTGAGTTTCAAGATTGTTTATATAACTGATTGACCTTGGCTAAGAAACTATTGAAACACTCAGTATCACCATCAGTGATGATTTTTTTTACTGTAGTATAACATTTCAAATTTACTGAATCTGAACATGTGAAAATTTTAATATTGACTGAGTTGCCTAAGTGGAGTGGATGCTACTTGAGATCTTTGGGTTCAAGGTTTTATTTCTGGTAGGATTTAAGTGCCGATAACTAAGTTGTCCCTGTCCAATGCTGTCTGGTTTTCATTGGTTAATTATCTGTAATCAGCTCCTGATCTGAATTACCTGGTAAGAGTTGTTTTATTGTCTTTGAAGCTGACTTGTACGAAGATAAGTGCTGTTTCATTCTTGGTAATAACTACCATTACCACAGAGAAAATTGAAAATTAGTTGAGAAGCTTTCCAAAACTTTGTAATTTACCTACAAAACAGGTCTAGCTTTGTCATAAACACAGGCATATCTGATAATATATTGAAAAAAAGACCACTATAATAATTTAAAGTAATTTTCCTTTGGATAATATATTCTTGTACATAGTGTTTTGTTAAATTTACTTGCTTGATCCAAACCCTACTTCACACTATAAAGGATTCATATGAATTAAACATGAAATTAGATTTTACTATCATTCAAACGTCTTCGTAAATCATTTTCGGTTGAGTGATTTGCAATAATTGATAGGAAGCACTAAACCTAGATCTCATATTAGTTAACACTTATTAGCGTGATTTAGACTCAGTCTTAAAAAATATCACGATACCTGCATGAGCTGAAACCTGGTAAAATATTTTAAACCATATTGACTTCGGAAAAATCTGATCAGACGACAGATTGTAATATTTCAAGTAACAAATTCTCGATTGATTTGTTTGTTCTAGAATCCTAAAACATTTACTTCGATCAATACAAATCAATCAGGATGATACAATGATTCAAGTAGATATTTTAAAGATTCGACTAAAAAACTAAACACTATTAAATGAAACCTAAGCGTTCATATGTTATGTAAACATTCGAAATATATCCATGTTTGAAACATGTACGTATTTATTGACAATAAAGTATATTATTATATAATCTTAAGTAGAAATAATCTAACTGTGCAGTTAACAGTGGTTAAACAAATTCCCAAAACAACATTATTTAAAGACATTCCATAAATCAATATGAAACACATGATCTATTGAAAGGACATTTCACACCAACAAGTTACATGTAATCTCAACCAGGTAGGTTACCAATGATGGGCTCCTCCATGTGTGCATGCCAGTACAACTGCTCCTGTGGAGTTAGGTACATAGGCTGTATCCAGATGGCTTTATCCTTGAGTGCTCGTGAACATATGTCAACGTATTTGTGAAAAAGAGTCACTAAACCGACTAACAGTACCATTCTTTCTCACTTGGTAGATAGTGAACATCATATTAAAACAGTAGAAGCTTGCTCCATTTATATTAGGTGTCAAAGAATCTACCACAAAGTGTAAGATTACGGCTACTTTGCATAAACGAAGCCACATAGATTAAATCCGGAAAATCGAACTTATGTATCCATAAGGGGTAGATCTAGACCCTGTATATACCTTGGCCCATAACTAAAATATCGGATACTTAAACTGGATATTACGAACCTCTTGCGCACTTCACAATCTTTCTGTTACATCTTTATCAATCTTCACATGAATAAATCCAAATTCACATGGATTCTTTTTTGTCGTAATTGCCTTGATAATATCCCACTTATTACATATCATGTTTACACAACATTATTTTTACTACCTGGATTAGCGAGACGAAATTCATTATTTTGCATTGTATTCACACGATTTATTGTATTACTATGATATTGATCATCACAACAGATTCATCATTTCATGCGTCATGTCGACTAGTGAGTTATCAAAGAACATTTTGAAACTATAGACTTCCTGATTTGTGCTTCTGTGTACATAAAATTAGAACTAAGAAAACATAACTGTTTGATTTATACGATAAGAATTGATTAGTTATCTAGTTCACAATTGCACGATACTGATGGAAAACGTAGTACCTGTGCCAGACTTAACATTAGAATATTTTTGCGAGCTATCAACTATATATCACTCGGTAAAGTGACTGACTTAATAATAAAGAATCGATCAAACGAATTAATAATGCAGTTTATCTAATACTTAAACAAGTACTTTAACTGGGTTTTTAAATATCATCAGTCCTATTACAGCGTATTACAATGTGTAGAAATCCTATTTTTCTTATAATTATATTTTTGTTACATTATATAACTCATGTCAAGGATGTAATATAATTGTTGTAATAAAACATAAAATAATACTTTTATGCTTCTTTTAGCCTGAGAAAAGATTTTTCTGACACATTTCTAGGATTTCATATATATACACCATAGGGATAAGTCAATAAGAATCAAAATCCCGAGTTCCGGTTTATTTGTATGAAATTTTCAAATGTATTGCCATTTGATACGTACAGCAAAGAAATCTCTGAATAGAGTACCTTTGTTTAGTGCTCAACATACTTAGGATTGAAAAAATTAAAGTTTAGTATGTTATGACAACAAAATATTCAATAAGATCAGATAATAAATTTATATGATTCATTGATAGTTTTGTCATAAAGTCAATTTAATGAATATATAAAAGTATCTGTATACATATATTATATAAATTTATAAGGTAGAATTCAAAATTCAATTTAGAGCCTGAATATGAAAAGAATTCTATTGTAGTGAACAAGAACACGAGTGTGGACAATTGAATGTATTCGAGCACAAATTACAGAATATCTCACTAAAAATCTGAGAACCATATAGTAAACAGTTGTTTTGCAAACTATGAATCAATTGTTTCAATCTTGACCGTTTCTTCTACAAATATCAGTCCATAGTCTCCGATCATCATTGTTCATGAGTTTTCATACAAATAGCTTTTCGTTCCCGTTCTTCCCTTATCGATCTTCTATCGAAATACATTCAATGCCCGATTATCATTATATACTAGTTTTGTTGATATAAGTAACCCACACCACATTATTCAAATAAATAATATTTTTACAATGGAAGATATTAAAGTATAAGTATTGAGTGGAAACTCTAAAAGTCTTTAGATCACTTATAGATTTAAATATCACTATAGTTTTAACTACAATTCATGGACAATTTTATTGTTGAACAAAAGTTGTTGAAACAATTCAACTAAGTATTCAAATTGTTAGATCTACGTTGGTTTACATTTTAAAAAACATTAAAAAAACAAGAAACTTATTAATGATTATTTCTTCCATGGATTACACCATAGCAAAAAAAAAATTATTTTTGCACTATGAAAAATAAAAAAAAATAAATATAATTGATTAAAACAAATAACTGAAGTCTTATATTATTGTCTCTACAAATGATAAATTATTTATTTGATAACGCCATATGATTTATTGATTTAAAAGTATGTAAATTATAATACACAGTAATAAGTCCATGAACATTGTTTTCTAGGAACATCCAGCTGACGAGTCCCAAATAGGACAAAACGCGCGTCCTGGATTTCACTGCTTACCACTATCCATCTTTGCTTACAATTGTTTTGTTTTTGTTTTTCTTTTCAAAAACTTTTAAGATTCTCATTTTTTTCTGCCTTTTAGTTTATAAAGAATAGAATGTAGAAAACAAAAAGATTACGAAATATGACCAGAATTTGCTTGTTATAATGAATCCGAAAAAAACACACGAAACAATGACTATCAGTTATGTGTAATGTCATATACTTGCTTGTTTAATTACTTATCTTTCTGAAATTACTTTCTTCGTATCTAAGCATATAATAAGACGTGTTATGGATGATTTTTTTTCTTTATAATTCTCTTTCTCTCTTTTTCTCTTAATGTCTGCCTAACATTATATCTCATTTTAGAGTAAATAGACTAGTGCACATAACCTAAAGTTTTTTCATTGGTTCTTTTAAAGACAATTTCACAGATTTACATTAATACAAACAGTAAATAGTTCTTACGTTTGTCAATATATGTATATATGCATATACATTGCATGCACTACTCATGTCTTTATCAGTGTACCTTCACCATCTAATATATCTATGCACTTTCAAGTCGGTGGTTGTTTATGCATATATATACATCTATATATATGTGCTTATGTATTGACAGATTCACTGTCAGTTAGTTTGTTATCCTTTATATATTTACCAAACCAAGTTTCTGTTCATTTTTTATCGAATAAAATTTTTTATTTTGATGTAAAACAGGAAAGGAAACTTGAATAATATTTTCCGTGGAAACAAAATAATAATAATAATAAAAACTTTAAAAAAAATAACCTTGACGATAATAATAATAGTAATAGTAGAAGACATTAAAGAAACTTTGAAATGGATTCTATCATTACCGAACTACTTACATTTTAACGAATGATACCAATAACTGAACATTCTAATTTCTATGAATGAGAATGGATTTTACTTCTTATAAGAAAATTAAAATATGGAGTATACCTAAAAAGAAAAGGGATTTATGATTGGTATACCCGTTTATGAATTTCATCAATTCTTATTCATCGTTTTCAATCATTAATGTTTCGTATCTTTTTTTGTGTGAATTAAACTAATTAAGTAATTTCAGTAGTATAACGAATAAAAAATTATTCATTATAAACAGTTCATTTGATATATGTACTTATTAATTATAAAACAATCAGTGATTTCTTTTATTGTTATTTTTACATATCGAATTATTCAATTATATAAATTATCACAGACCAAATTTTTAAATTTAAATATTTACGTAGTGGCTCAGCTGCCAGGCTCGCTAGTTGGGAACAAATCAGTACGAGTGAAATAGATTTAAATGATTTAGGTAAGAAAAATAAAAAGAATGATTCTAATCCAAAACAAAAGATTTCAATTCTCAATACAACTGAATCAAATCGGGATATTACTATCCAAGAAACCAAACCTATTCCATTACAAAAATGTAAATCAATATGTACAGGTAAAATTAGTAATGCTAATGAGATCAATATTAAATCCCTTATTAATCAAAATGAATTATTACGTCAAGATAATGTAAATTTATTAAAATATGTAAATAAAGAAGAAATAAATGAGAGAAAATCCAATGTAAAAAAGCCAGCAAGTACAACATATATACATGGTCACCATGTGAAATTTTCACGTCCACATATTAAACGTTTTACATCATTTAGAACATCACCGACATCACCAACAGCATCATCATCATCAGCAGCATCATCGACAACATTCAAATCGATAACTGCACCAATAAAATCTTCTTCATTAAATAAACTTAGTGAATGTATACCGTTAAAAAATATTTTTCATTTACAAACTTCTTCATCCATTCCAACATTGAAATCATCAACTAATGGGCTTAATACTGTTTCGTGTAATAACTGTAATGTTATCAAAACTACTAATACAAACAATAATAGTAGCATTATTTATGAAGTAAAACCATCCTCATCTGTAGAATATTCTGATCATATCTTACGTGTTCCAGTACTTGGTAGTCGTCAGTCTGGTAAAACTACATTAGTTAAACAATTTATTAATTGTATTGATCCTGGAAATCCTTTACCTACTTGTAAACGTCCAGATTATTATGATCCAATGATATCATTTAACGATCGTATTTATTATGTACGTTTAATAGATTGTCCACCAATTGATAAAAAATTTCCAACAAATTCTATTGATGAATGGGAAAATTATCGTGGTTGGGGATTAAGAAATGCTTCAGCATTTATTTTAGTATTTGATGTTAATTCAGAATCATCATTTCAATATATACGTCAATTACGTGATCAAATTGTTAGTGAATTCAATGATATACCATTGCTATTAGTTGCAAATAAAATTGATTTATTACAACAAATGGCAAATGGATTTAATACAAATAACTTTATACCATCATTTTATTCAACACCTTCTACATCATCTTCAGCAACCATTATATCAACACCAGGACAATCACAAATCACTCATTTCAATAATTCTAATTATCGGTTTAATATACGTCGTGATATAAATATGATTATTAAAAAACAATGGAAACGTACTATACTTGTAGAATGCTCTGCTAAATATAATTGGCATGTTATGAATGTTTTTAGAGAATTAATGCGTATTTTAGAGAATAGAGAACAAGCACATAAACCTACTGCAGCTAGAGCAGTACAAAATGCATTAAGAAATAATCAATGTTCAATAATGTGATTCTTCTTATTCTTTCCTTATCCTTCAGTGAATAAATGAATGAATGATAACAGAAGTAAGGTACACTTACTATAACTGCGCAGAATTATGTAAATTAATTGATTATTTTTTATAAACACAGATGACGATGATGATGATGTGAACAATTAAGAAATTGTATCCACATAAAAAAACAGTCCAGTTCTAGATATTTCGAGTTATTTTTCAGTTTTATTTCTGCTTCTATTACTTTTGTTAATCTTTTTTTCTACTTCTTACTTTCTTTCCCATTACCTTCCTTCATTTGATGATTAAGTTTATATCATTAGATGGGATATTTTATGCAGGACAATGAAGGGGTTATAGCAACTTATTATTATTATTATATATACATAAGATTTATTCACTATTAACTTATTAATTAAGGAAAATGAAACAGAACAAAAAAATTCTGATAGTTGTTACGCTTATTAATCCAGAGAATATCGTTATAGTAAATATTATTACGATTATGATTACTATTATTATTATTATTAATATTGTTATTATTACTATTATTATTAGTAGTAGTACTATTATTACTGTTATTGATATTGCTGTGCAATACTAGAATTCATATAACAAATAAACGTTACTAATTACATTTGTTTATCTATTCATTTTAGTAATAATTAAGGAGTTTATAATTAGGTTATGAATAACTGGATCATAAGTGAAAAACATGAAAAATCTGTGATAGAAATGTAAAAAAGAGCGAATCAAGTTTGTGAATATAAGATTGGATTTCTTATTTGCTTACTTTACTTTCGCCTGTTACTCCTAATGGAGTATAGGCCGCCGACCAGCATTCTCCAACCCATCCTGTCCTGGGCCATCCTTTCTAGTTCTATCCTATTTTTGTTCATTTTTCTATTATCTGTTTCCATTTGTTGGCGTAATGTGTTCTTCGATCTTCCTCTTTTCTTTTGGCCTTCAGGATTCTATGTGAGGGCTTGTCTTGTGACGTAGTTGGGTGGTTTCCTCAATAAGTTTTCTATCCTGTAGAAAACTAACTCGCTAATAAAAACGCTAACCAGAAAAAAAACTATTCAAGATGGAATTTTACAATCGATTAAATTGTATCAAATAATGGTATTGGAGACTAAAAACGTAGACTTGAATGTTGAATGATCATTTTAAAAAAAGAAGTAACGTGTGAATCAGTGATGAAATATTGAATTATGTGTAATTTCAGTCTAACAAATGTTCGTTAAATTGATTATGTAATTAGATTTTTAGATCAAATTCTGATAAAGTTATTGTAAGATTAGAAATATTATTATTATAGAACAACTAAGCTGTTAAAATAATATTTTTTTAAATTCATTTATTATCCGGTTTGTTTAAATCTTCCCACTGATGTTCAGGATTCTATGGCTAGCCACTATCCATTTTGCTTATAATCCTAATGACTTAAGGCGTCTCGAATAGAATGAAATGTGCATCCTGTATTTTACTCTAGCTACCATCCATCCTTGCTTATAATCTCCATTTCTGTTTATTACGATAACGAGTTTGGTTCTATGAACTTTATAACCAGTGTCTTTTTAACCAGACGTTGACAATTTCTACATTATTAACCACTGTGTACGAGAATTGATTCTTCACTTTCTAATGTCCATTAAATCTTAAAATAACATTCATTCAGAGCACTCTTATTCAGTGTGTTATATAAAAGCTCACCATCAAAATATGGGGAATATAAGACGTTCGAATGAATCTAAAATAATGCCTTGAATACATGAAAGTGTTTGAAAAGCGTTAAACAACACTTATTTATTATTCATTCAATATATTTAAATTCTTCATACCTTAAGATGAATGTTTTATTTCTATTAGTTAGTTCTATTTAGAAAAATGTTCAAACAAAGAGGCATCCTTAATTGTTTAGGTGTATTTAATTGTTGTTATATCAAACATTGAAGTCAACAAAACTATTTTAATCTGAATTTCTTCAATCCAAAAATTCCATTATTTAATGAACGAACTTTTTTACATTTAAACTAACCACTGCTACAAATTAAATGGCCAAAGTCAATTTTTATAAAAAAAAATAGAATAGGTCAAATCGCGTTCGCGCGCGAGACCGGTAGGCCCTGAGTTCGAGTCCCAAATGCGCGACAGTGAATGTGCACTGCTGAGGAGTTTCATGCTAGAACGACATGGCCCTTCACTGCTTCCAGGTTTATCATGGTGGTTTATCTTTAATAGACTCATGAATTTAACTATGAAATTAATAATGGATTATTAGTTCACAGATTAATACTAAGAACTAAGATTATAGTAAGATTTACAACAATTAGATTTGTATGAATTTAACACTTTTTATAACACTAAATTTATAAATGTTATCCCGTTCTCCTGTAAATAAATGACTAATTTTATTCTAATAAAACCGATTACCCAGAACTTTTTTCTTTACTGGATATGTTTATTTATAGTTGCCAATAATGATCGAATACATGTTGCATTCATCCCCATACATTCAATTACCAATGAAACTCATCACATTAAATAGTAAGATATCAGTTTAAAAACAAATTGAGTAGCATTGGGTTATTTAGATATTAATTTAATAGAATGTGATGAAATATCAAAGATAACTATTTAAATCAAGGAACTATTTTATCGTACCTTCTTGAAACTTATATCTGTCTCACTTTGATTTCCAGAGGATCTATGATAAAAGGTGGTATATTAGTATTTAACTGCTTACGCGTCGGTTATGGAAATTTTGAACATCCAAAAGATGTTGCTACATTTGATCAAAACTTGGATTCTTCTAGATAAAAAAAGGGATTATTCTTAGAAAACTAGTTATTTCTGAGTCATGCATTTCGTGATATTAAACTAAGAAACTATTTAACAACGTAGGTCATCAAATAACTCTTAGGTCTACGTCTGAGATTTCTCAGCTATAAGTACTCATAATCTCTGCATAAAACCCAACTCAAAAAAACTTCTGGTTTCTCAACAATCTATATATTTTTAGCTCAATAAATTAAGATCTAAAACTGAAGTTACTTTTGTTATTTTTATACCTGATATCTTTATTGAAATATAATTAGTTAATTTAAAGTTTAACCATTGAAAAATGTCAAATAAATGTTTCTATTCTTCAACTGAAACAATCTTAATTCAATAATCTTAGCAATTGATTTAATTTAAATGATTCACCAGATTGATTAAATATTGAACAGTAAAATTAAGTCAGTTAAATTTTTCAAGTAGAGATGAATTTCTTTCTTTTCTTTTCTTTTTTTTACTCGGTAACAAAGATTTTATTGGCTTGAAATAAAAAGACATTTAAACCGCTTGTTTTCTGGCAAGTTGATTTTTTTTTGTTTGTATCTAAGATCAAAATCATTTAGAAATAAAAGTGTAATATTAGTCTAACGGATAATTCATTGAAACTATGTTTTCGAAATTATTGGCTTAACTTTAATTATGATTCTGGCAAGAAGAGATATTTGATTTTTTCTATAAGCATATATATGTAGTTGAAATTCAACTGGAAAAAATCTTTCTTGATACAAACAAACACTAGTTAGCTTGGTTTAGCTTGAAAATGACTTCTTTAAACTGTATCATTAGTTAAGAATAAGGATAATAATCTAAATCCTTCTATGGAATATTAAAAAACTATGTTTGAATTCGGGATTTCCAGTAACTTTGTTTTCAGGCACTGACATTGCAAATCCAAAAATATTGCATTACAGTAGACATTATAACAAGGGTATATGGTTGAATTAGTCAGTATTATGAATTAAGACTAGTGAATTATAAGCAGATTATGTTTCAAATACTTATAAAATACGTCATTATTAAAATTGAAGAATGATATATTAAACGATTCAAAAAATTATATTATAGGATGATGTGTTATAGCCAGAAAATTCAAATATTGTGAATACAAAATAAAGTAATAAACTAGAACGAACAATTTAAATCTTAGCAAGAAAATGAAACGAAATTACTGCTTCAAACTGTGCTGATAAAAAGGGTCTAGAAAATGTGACTAAAAAAACTACATATATTTAATATACGATGACTATATTGTGACATAAAGTTAACAATAGGCCTGAATATTAGCTGCCCTACCCTTGCTGTTACTTTGAAGTGGTGGTCGGGCTTGCCTATCGTGATGAACCAATCGAGCTATACTGGCTGGAAAATTCGTTCCTCAAGAACCTACCATGTCAGACAGCTCGGATGAAGAGCGGTAAGACTAAAAGCAGTAAACCCAGGGTCCGAAGGCGAAGTCGTTCTGCCGACTGTGCAGAGGTGTGACGGCAGTAAGATGTTCCATTCAGACAACCAGCATGACAGCGATGCTGCCTTCCCCCAAGGAGGGGCGGGGTTAGAAAAGGTCGATTCTAAAAAATGCACATCCCGCCTTATCCCAGCGATGAAGTCCGAACGAGTACGGAGATAACACGAAAATTATCCACAAAAAGGTCGTGTGTGACCGACCTCAAGAAGTTGTCCCTTGGGCACTGCGATCACGCTCTCAGATCGCTAAGACTACTTCAAATCCGATTTCCTTTTCAGTTACCTCTAAAAAAACCCTTCCACGGTGTGGGCAACCGGTAAGTGATAACTGTCCTCATACCTCCAACAGCACTCAAGATCACTGACTGAATATTAGCTCATTCGGTCACGTTGATCTGGAATTTTAGAAGTAATCTCAACGTTTTACTACATCGAAGAGCCATCATCTTTCACCGCCAGACAGTTACAATGAATTAGAATCAGATAAACAAAACTTTTTATTTTAAGGTGTTGACTGTCTATGTTGTATGACTAAACCATATGATGCTAAGTGACTCAACTATATCAACATTGCGAAGTCTGGATTCTGGTTTAAGTGAAGTCTTGGCAAAATGTGTGGTACTCAGAGTCCTATATATCAGAGGAGAATTAACTGAGGTAGACTACGAAGCATCTATTCACTTATAACATAAAATTCAGGCCTGTCGACAAAGTCTATTTAGTATTCATAAATTGCAGGAAAAGTCAAAGACATACATTGGTGATCTCAGCATCAGTAACTTATTACCTACTGTATGGACTAGTATAGGTTTGATTGAAATGATGTGAATCTTAAAAGCTCAAAAAGTTTTTTAACATGTCTTACGAATAAAAGCGTTAGAATTTAACGAAGTTTATAGTCTTACGCAGCAAGCTTCTGTATCGACTGTGATCTTTTTTATTTTATTTTTGAACCCAAACGCTCATCTTTCCATGAAGTAATTGTGATATCCGTTTCTTTATAATATTTTACTTAACTTATTTTCAAACTATCTTCAAAAATATTAGCAAAGATGGATA